TCATCTCAAGTCTTCTTATTTGGCTTTATTGAAACTTGGGAAATAAAAGGTGCCATACAGCAGAAAAGAAGCAAGAACACCTAGAGATCCTGGATATTTGTGACTCAGACATCAAATCCCCAACTCTGTTCTAACAGAACAGAAGTGTCAGAACAGAGGACAGCAAAGCAAAGAAAATGAGGAACTCTTACAGTAATAGGTAACAACACTGACTGTCCCCCAGATCTCCCCACTGTTTTCTGTATGAATACCAATTCTTGTCTGATCCAACTGAGAAATATTTCTCCTACAAAAGAGGACTCCCTGTAGACCAAGACAAGGTTCTATTACCATTGTTGGCCAAGTGCCCATGAGTATTTTTGCTTAGCAGAGCATAACCAGTTGAGACACTGTTCTATGGAGGGTAGTATCATTTAGTCCAGTGTTTCTCAACCTTAGCAACTTTAAGATGTGTGGACTTCCAACTCCCAGAACTCCCCAGTCAGCATGGGGAACTCCAATTCTGGGAGTTGAAGTCCACACATCTTAAAGTTGCTAAGGTTAAAAAACCCTGATTTAGTCTCTTCTGTCTTCTTCAAAGTCTTTGCAAATCCAGGTACAAGGTCTAGGTACCTCCTGTTGTTCCTTATTCTATTTCCCCTTTCTTTTTCACAGGTTGCTCTTCTGCAGGTACAGAGTGAATTCCTCACCCTATTTCCCAATCCCATATTCTCAGTAGAGTGCAATGCTCATTTCTCTCATGCTTCTTGGGACACCAGAGGTGATTATTTTTGCTGCCATTCTTGTATCTCCTGTTGGCTGCTTTGCAAAGGGTCTTTCCCAGGAAGGTATAAGTAGGTCAGCATCCTGGTATGTGTACTGCACTTTATGTTCATGAACAGCAACTGTGAGGAGCATGAGGTGAGGGGATGGGAGCTTTTCTATAAGAATGCAGGAAGACATACTTATTGATTTGTATCTCACCTTCCTTTCAGGAGATTATGGCAGTGTACATAGAGTACCCCTCTCCCATTTTTCCCCACAACAGCCCTGTGATATAGTTTGGGCTGAGTGTCTGGCTCAAAATCACTCAGTGAGCTTCCATGGCTGAGGCTGGACTAGAACCCAGGTCTGCCTGCTCCTAGTCCTATTCCTATCCAGCCTGCCCTAGTGGCTCTTTGTCTTTCCTCTCACAATTGCAGCACAACACTTGACAATAGCAGAACTGAACTTTTGTGATTGACAGTCCTGTGACTGTATTTTGCATGTTGTAATGCCTCTTTCAGAATGTCAGAATAAGCAGTTTCATTATTTTTGCATAATGGTACCTTAAGAAAGGGAGGATAATGGAACACATTTCAGAGATAATTTAAATCAAAATGCAGCTAGTATGTTTTCATGCATACATTTATTTAATCAGTGGGGCTTGTTCTCGTACACATCCATGGGATTGCAGCCCTTGTTGACTCTGAGTTTAAAATAATATATTTTTCTTAAATATTAACATAGCTAACATTATATGGCCATTATGCACGTGTCTAACATTACGTGACGTGTATCTAATATAGGTGTACATATCTTCTTTATAGTTTTAATATTTCTATCAAGCCTCAATCACCCCTTCTTAGACACTGGAATTGGGGGCCACACTGCCCTTGAGGTTACAGAGGCCAAGTCTATCGTATTAAGGATGAGGGTCATCCGAGGTTAACCGGGTAACTAACATCCGGGCCTTCTGGTCTCAGTGGGCGAGCCCGTCTCCTGCACATGCGCATTTCCAGTCATCCTACCATTTGTACGAGTTATACACATGGGCGACACGTTTCCTTTCCCTCATTTCGCACATGCGCAGACCGATCTGATGGAAACGACAGGCGCAAGCCTTTGTTTCCTCTTACGCATGTGCATTGGACTTAGATATTACCGGAGGAACGCCCCCTTCTTCCCCAAAGCTCCGTCAGGAACTGAAGGGCTCGCTTCCGTTTCTCAATTGGTCGCGCGAAGAGCGTGCGCGCGGCGCCGGCAGGAACCCTACCGAACGTGCGCTGCAGGAGGGCGCGCGTAGAGCGCAGGCGCAGAGCGAGGCCCCGCCCTCCCCAGGGACTCATTGTGCAGCAACCGGATTGACTTCTTCTCGTGCGCGCGGGCCAGCGGGATCCGTGTCGCCCTTCCCCCTCTTCTTACTTCACAAGCAAGCGCGAGCCTGATAGGGGACAGAGCCGTCCACTCCCTCGGCAGGAAGGGGTTTGAGACCGCTTGCGTCGCGGCCCTGAGCGCCAACATCACAACCGCCCCCCTCCCTCTTTCCCCTCTTCTTTCGCGGCCTCACTCTTCCATCTTTCCCCCTCCCACTCCCCCCCCACGAGCTCGCGATTCCCCTCACGGCTCTCACGTTGCCTCCGAGGCTCGAGACTTTCCCTCCCTCCTTCCCGAGGCGCCGGCTTACGGAGGGGAACCAGGCGGCCAAACGGCGCGTCCTCCCGGAGGACTCATTCCGCGGCAGCAGGTGGGATCGAGGCCCACGTTACAGGCGTTTGTTTTGCTGACGCGCGCAGGCGAAGCCAACGGAACGCGAGTGTGGGGGAGACGCGTCCGCCTGCCTCCCCCCACTGTTTCCCAGCATTTAACCCTTCCACATTTCCGCGACGGCCTGCCCGCCAGCCAGTTTCCCCTTCCGGGCCGGCAGGAGCGCACGGCGTTGCCTGTCTCGCGGGCTCAGTCTGAAGCAGCCGCACTCTTTGCGCGCCGCGGCTGGGTGACTGATCGGTACCCCTTCGCCTTTTTTCCCCCCTTTCATTTTTAACTCGCCACTTCAGGCAGCGTAAAGGCGG